TATGCTATGAAATATTGCCACACAAAGGAAAGTCTTATGGCATTTTATCATCTCTCTTATAACTATAATTTCTAGTCATTAGAACATTGCTTGAGATTTTAATTTTATTAAAAAATTGGATGATAATGTGGGAGGAGTTTTGCAAATTCCCAGGAAGTTGATGGATTTTAAATCTTGTACTTTTGATTCGTATTTTAGAGAGCTTCTAAATATTAGATTTTTATTTTGTTTATATAATCAACAATAACAATATCCTATTAACTGTTTATTGGATATAGCTCTGGGTAATGATAGATGTCTTATTACATTTCCTCACTCTACATATAGAGTTATGACACCTCTTACATTAGACCATTCTTCTATGCTTTTCTACCTTGGATCCAATTTTAACTCTAGATGTAACTTCTTCTTAAGAATTACTATAAATAATTCTCTATTTTTCATAGTATTATTTTGAATTCTTTTAACATTGAAGTGGATGGTAATCTATTTTTTGTTCTTGATAATAAATTGAAGATTAACAAAAAAAAAGCTCTCAGATATGCTAAATAGAATTCTTTCAATAACATCTTTAATACTATTAAGGAATTAAATGATGTACAAAGAGATTTACATCTCAATCTTGAACATCACCCACTCTATAAAGATCTTCCCTCACAAGTATTGATTTTCAAAACCTACTTTTTTAATACATCTTTTGTGAGAGCACTTGGATAAGTGCTCTTGGTTATCCAAATGGGCATTACATCAAATTATTATATCAAATAATCAAACATAGAGGTTATAAAAGCTACATTGAAAAGTTATATTTTAATATTGTCTACATCAATTTTCATTAGGGTAATGGTAAGGAGGTTATATTTTATTTATCTACTTTTATTGTATGCCCTAATATATCTTCCAACACTTTTCCTCTTATCTCTGTTGGTTGGCTACAAAATCAATATAAATGTAACTACTTGCTTATTGACTTCTTAGATCATGATTTTAAAAATGGTTTTTTTTAGTTGGCATTGATAAATGTCCTAGTTCTGATGGCTTCAACTCTAAAATTTTAAGGAAAACTTAAATATAACTAGCTCTTCATGTACCAAAGCAATTAAACATATCCTTATATCTAAGAACTCCCTAATAATGCCAAGCATTTTCTTATTCCTAAAATTAAGCATTCACAAATGTTTAATGACTATATGTCTATGTCGGTGTTATTTTGGTTTGGGGGAGTTGCCCGTAAGAAGCTTTCAGTCAACGGAATTGAAATCATGTCACCCTCTTCAGAAGGACATTTTAATGTTTAGAAAAATATGAAATCAAACTAACCCCATATTTTTTTATAATTTTAAATGAAAGAGCGTTATACCTCAAATCATGTATCAATCTGAAGGATAAATACAAGACTTGAGGATGAGGCTCAATCAAATAAACTAAGAAATGTATGACGTCCATTTTGTCTGAGAAACCATTTTATTTGTTGACAATTTCCCTTATTTAATATAAAGAATTAAATAGGTTTTATATTAAGCTTGGTTCGAGAAAGGCTTCCTATAAGGGCAAGCCCCTATAGTTAATTACATCTTAAATGGCCGAAGTCATCTAAGAAAACTCTTGATAAAAACCAAGAAATATTATCTTCAAGGAATTCCAAGGAAAGGACTTTTAAATAAAATCAGACAAAGCGGTATAAAATGGGATTGGCTCAATTTGGAGCATTTTGTTTTTGGAATCCAAAGGAGGAAGAACTAGGGGATGCCATGGATCCAGAGGAGAACCTCAGTGACTTCCCAGTCTATCCAATTGTTTGGTTTCAATTTAGATGAAAAATTATTTGAGTGTTTCATCCTGTAAATTTTATTAATTTCGGGCTTACATTTGTGTGAAGCAATTACACAAATGGCCTGGAAAATGTGAGGATTTAGGTCATGACGAACGACAAACTCAGAATCATAAGACGGGTTAGAACTTATATTGTACAACTCTACAAAGGCCTAAAGATGAGGTGAAGATTTATTTGGCATAAGTAGACAACCTCAAAATCCCATGGGTTGGTTCTTTAATTCTAAGGAATGAATTGTTTTAGCTGGTGAAGTCATGTTTTGTTGTTGAAGATGACTGTGCTGCCCACCATGCTAGCTCCAAGCTCTTTGCTGTGACGAGTTTAAGTTTTTTATGGTGTCAAGTTATGATGTCAAATCAGGTGGCCCTATGGTTGTAGTTCTTTAAATTTTCATGGGGGATGTTAAAGTTGATTAGAGTGACACCGATTAGGATCCTACGGTTCCATCGTTCCGGCACCACTATTTTCTATTGGATTTACTTAGTCTAAATGAATTTACTAAACTCAACTTAACCAGTTCTATAACGTCATTTAGACTGTGGGAAGCATCGTTAGCAACCGTAGGTTACCTCCTCCGAGGGATTCCCGATGTTGTGTATTGTTTTTTTTGTGACTATCCTAATAGTTTTAGTTTTCATGCAGGATGGCATCGTTGTTTAGCATGAAAGTTTTGCAAGTATAGAAAGTATAAGAAAGACAACACTGTAAACTAAAAAAAAGCATACCTGGCGAGTCTTCTCATTCCACCACCTGAAACTCAAAATGCATTTTAAGGCATTTTATATGAAGCAGGAAAGTAAGGTTTTGGTAATTTTCCTAACCCTATGTCATATCTTTGGTGAGTCCTTAGAAATTTAGTTAATGATGATTATGTTAAGCAAAGCACATTTAGTTTAGTAGACCTCTAACGTATCGAACAGGCTAGGAGGAAGAAGCAGGTTCATGCTTCCCTCTCACTACCTGGTAAAAGGCCTCGAGCTCATTTAAACTTATTGTGTTGCTTAATAATTCACCTTATGAACACCCTAATGCTCAAGTAATTCTCAATGAACATTGATATCCTAATTATACATAAAAGTAGGGTAATTATCATTTGTAATTTAATTTTGAAGATTATGTGAATGAAGACCCTTAAAGGGGAAAGCTAGTATTGTTCAAACACTTAGCCAAATTTTGGTCCTAATTGGGCTTGTGGTGTTTTAAAAGTTGTTAATTTTAGCTTTGTTTTCTTTTCTAATCCTCGTTTAATCAGTCTTAATTATGAACACTGTAATTCTCAATGAACATTGATATCCTAATTATCCCTAAAAGTAGGGTAATTATCATTTGTAATTTAATTTTGAAGATTATGTGAATGAAGACCCTTAAAGGAGGCAAGCTAGTGTTGTTGGAACACTTAGCCAAATTTTGGTCCTATTTGGGCTCGTAGTGTTTTTAAAGGTTTTAAATTTTAGATATGATTTCTTTTCTAATCCTCATTTAATCAGTCTTGATTTAACTTAGATCACTACTAAACCCTTAAGACCTATGTGAGTGTCTTAACTAATTTGAAAAATGTTAAGTTTTAGGCGATCATGATTCATTATTTGAATTTCATTTAAGAATCAAATAGGGGTATTAAATTGATTAATTATTGACTTCAAAAGTCATACCCCTTAGTCCTAGGTTCATTTAATTTTAATAAACTTCCAAATTTTAATAATTTAGAAATTTATTAATTTATCCTTTTAGAAAGTAAGGTTGGTCTCTACCAATTAATCCCTTTTTAATTTCAATAGCATAATCACTAGAATCACACATCAGTTCAAATGGTTTCTCCCGGTTAGGTGAAACTATAATAGGGGCTGTGATTAATTTTTCCTTTAATAACTCAAAGGCATTTAAACAGCTTTCAGTAAATTCAATTTTCTTGTCCTTTTTTCTAAAATTTGGCATAGAGGTTTAGTAATTTTTGAAATTTTTTTGATAAAACGCCTGTAAAAACCAACATGTCCAAGAAAACTTCTAACCTCTCGACATTAATAGGAGGTGTTAGTTTATATATAACTTGAATTTTTGCAGGGTCTGCTTCCATACCATCTTCCGAAATTTTATGC